GGTAAATCTGGTCTCCGATACTGTCTCTTCCGCTCTGTGCAAGTTTCCTCGCTCAAAATAGGGCTCCAAATAAGAATTTTCTGAAAACTTTGGAAGTACTTGCTTCAAATTGATGAGCAGAAGGACTAACCTTTGGAAGAGATTCGACGTAGGAGTCCGGGATTTCCATTTCTGCCAGAACACCAGTGTTGATAGCCATAGCTGCCTTGTGAATTTGATTGGCGTAGTCACGTTTGTGTCGCAAGTGTTTCCTTGCTTTCTCAGAGAGACCGGACGGAGGAACGCATGGCATTGGCACCCACCATTTTTCATCATCTCTCTTAACAACCCTTCGAAACGAGCCTGTTCGACTTGAATTCGATGACAAATTCCCTTCCTCTGCATACCAGAATTCTCTGTCCTCAAAACTGTCCAATATTTCCTGTCAAAGGATACCATATGAGCTATGGGATGACCCTTCGTAATTACAAAAAGATTATGACTTCATTTTTTTGCCTTACAATTAGCATTGCATCCAACTTTCTCAGTGCAGGAAGATTGACATAAATATCTGATCTTGGTCTGCTTTCCATAACCTAAAAATATCCAAAGAGAAAAAACATCATGTTAAAGCAGACAAACAAACTCCCATTCAGACAAAGTTTTGGTACGGATTACCTCAATAGCTGTTCCATTGAGCAGATTCTGTGACTTTGAAGTAAATTCAACAATATAGTCGCAGACAGATAAGAGACAGTTCATCTCTCTTTTCCACAGTACTCTCTTTTCAGGGTTCAAAGGCTCCAACCTCAAATTTTGTCCAAACACAGTTGCTGCAGAACCAGACATAATTTAACCAAAATTTTGTAGAATCAAAAGACAAAAGTAAAAACAAAGTCATTTTCTTTGTCTGAAAACATGTTTATGTTACCGTAGAGATTGGTTATGGCATTCGAGATTGTAATCGCTGTGCAGCCACCTTTACCACTCCCTGACATATCCTCTCCCAGTAAAAGCTTTGCAAATCTTTCTCTCATCGTTTCAAGTTCTATAAAACAAAATTATACAACAATTAGCATAAAAAAGAAACATTATAATTCAGAACCAAAAAAAAAATGTAAACACAGTCCCTCCAAATATTTGCACCTAATTCCAATGATTCCAGATAATTAAGCTGCTTTTCATCTGTATTATTTTCGAGTTGCTTTGTTCCAAGCCTGGTAATAACAGCTTGATTCTGTGCCCCGGATCTTGTTGCTGCCCAGTGAAAAGGCGAAGCTTCACTAAAACAGCTATGATCGTCAACAGGTTCCGAAAATGCAGATCTTCCAGAGAAAGTTCTGCCATACAAGAAAGAAGCGCCACTGAACGTTGAGTATCCCGGAGTTTCTGGAATTGACTGGTCGATTTGATCGACAGAAGAAGGCGAAAGCTGATAACCCAGATCGTAGTTTTCATCAGAATTTGATAAATTCTCCATTTGAACCTAAAACTAATCACTATTCTCAGCTCTGCAAATAAGAAGTAACCATGGGAATGTAGTCAGTGGGGGTTCAAATTTCAATATTTTAGGACTTTTTGAATTTATAACTGAAAGTATTCACACAAGACGAAAAGAAAAGAAAAAACCGGCCATCAAAGTGAAAAGCAAAAGATGCTTTGTTTACAGTCACAGGTCGTTGTTTCTATCAGAATTCTAAAGCATAATTCACTGGAAATAATATGAAAAATAAAAGCTTGTGCTTAAAGTAACGTTTGCTAGCAACGGTCTTTTGTAACATTATTTTTTCTTCAAACGAGTTACCTTTAAAGGGTTTTAAATAGATTTGAATTCGAAACCTTTGAGGATATCTGGCAATCTGAGGACCATTTGAAATCGTTCCCTCCTAATCATCTTTCCAAAAGGAACACACTACAACACTTTCTTTTTTGGATAACAAAGGAACAATGAATCTTCACCGTAAGATTGCTGGGTCTTTTTCTCAGTTTTCTGATCGAACGAAAACAAACCCAGATGCAAAATTTGCAGGAAAATGTTGAATCAATGAAAATAAAGAATGGGTTTTGACTTGTTTTGGAAATTTTGCAACAAGTTTGTATAGCTTATTTGGTTGACAGAGACATTTTTTATTATAGGACAGGCATGACATGTTTGTAATTGAATATTTTATTTGCTTTTTATATTCTTATATGATTGCAAACAAGTTCATATTTTAGAGAAAATAATTCCAATAACAAAATTTTGGTTAAATTCTTCTTTTAGTCCATGTCTTATACATAAATTAAATTTTAAAATTTTACCCAAACAGTACCTGTAAAAACTACTAAATTAAATTATGTTATTTTTTTAAATGAAAGGGCTTAAAAGTCAATACAAAGATTAATTTCTAAAATAGGGAGGGCCATTAAGGTCTCTGTCAAGCAAATTGACAACTCCATGGGATGGGGTCGAAAGGATAGAGGTAATTCCATCACGGAGGGAGGCATCTTTGCCAAAAAATCAGCAGGGAAGTTTGCTTCGCGACGAATCACATGCCTTGGAAGTAAACTGGGATATAGCTCGGACAAGAGCGAAAGGGCTCAAATGGGCAGTAGGCGACATAACAAGTTTGAATACTTCCCCACAGTCAGTTTGACATTGTAACCACTCGAAACCGGTAGACCACGCAATACGTAAGCCAAAGCTCGGCATGGAGAGGATGAGAGATTCCAACATATTTATTAAAACCAACCAGCCAGTTGTCTTGACAGTCTCGAATAAGACCTACAGTTGAAGATAAAGAAAAAGGAGCAGAAACGGATCTATCTGTGTTGAGAGTGACCCATCTTGTAGAAGCAGGATTCCATCGAACTTCCACTTGTATAGTAGAAGATGGCAAACTAGAACCAAGTTGCTGGTGGTTCTTCTGAAAATAAGTAGCCCAAGATTTGCTTTGATCTAGAAGAGTTATGTTCGATATGGTTTGTTCCGAGAAAATCGTGGAGTTACAACGCTTCCAGACCTGCCAAGAAATGGAAGCAAAAATGATATGCCAAGGAATTTCAGTACCTGCGAGGAGAATGTTTGATTGAATGTTTGAAAAAATTCAGTCATCAATTGGCTGCGAGAAGCGGCTATGATGATGTTGTTGAAGGATAGACAGCCAAAGAATTTTAGTTTCTTTGCAGTCTCTAAGGATGTGAATAGCATATTCCTCGACTGCACCGCAGGTGGAGCAAGCAGGATCATCAGTAAGGTTACGGTGCCAAAGAGACTGATTAGATAACAGTTTATCTCTGACCGAAAGTCAAAGAAAATATTTGATTCTCTCCTGAATAGGAAGCTTCCAAATAAGGCTCCATTTAGGATTGCAGTTGTCCCAGGCAGAATCCGAGAGCTTGTGATAGGCGGATTTTATTGAGAATTGTCCTTGTTTACTAGATTCCCAATAGTAAAAGTCAGTACCAATGGTCGAACTTGGGCAGTGAATATTCATGATAAAAGGAACTGTATCTGGGGAGATCAGTTGATGAAGCAGGGGTCAATTCCACTCACCTTCAGGAGATAAAGTATCACAAACAAGAAGATTATTAATGACAGTGGCGGTAGGATTTTTCCAATTGATGAGGGGGCCAAGTTGAGGCACCCAAATGTCATACCAAAAGCGAATAAGGGATCCATCACCAATTGACCAAGCGAGGAAGCCATGAAATAAAGTCCAAATTCTTGCAATGGCACGCCATAAGTGAGAGCAGTTTGCTCTTTGGATGGATGAAGGACAAAGATCAAAGATCTTATATTTCTGACGCAAGAGCTTCACCCAAAAGCTGTTAGGATTTGAAACAAGAGCGTAGCATAACTTAAGAAGAAAAGCAATATTTTGTTTGTGGGGATTTCTTATTCCAAGCCCCCCGTATTTCCGAGGTTGGCTAAGAATTTCCCAACAAACTAGAGGGATACCATGGGCAGTGGAATTCGGTCTCCAAATAAAATTGTGGATTAGCCTCTCAATTTCATCACAAATACGAGAAGGACAACGGCAAGTTTGCATGTAGTAAGTAGGCAGAGCATTAAGAACGGAGTTAACTGAAGTCACCCGGCCAGCTAAGGACAGGGAATTGGCATCCGGCTAACTTTTTTGGATTTTATCAATAATGAAACTAAAGAATTCACATGTTGACCGTTTATGCATCACCGGCATACCGTGATAAACACCAAGATCGTCCACCTTATGAATTCCAAGTTGAGAAGTCACAAGGTTTATTGTTTCCATACTTGTTTTACCAGAAGAAAAAAACACTTGGGATTTGGCCTTGTTAACACTATGCCCCGAGTAAGTTCCAAATTCATCAGAATATGGTTTATAAGAGCAGCTTGAGACGTTGTTGCTTTGGCATAAAGGATGAGATCATCCGCAAAAAAAAATAAGATGCGAAAGAGGAAGACCACCACGAACAAGAGCGAAAGGCTTCCAAACATTATCTTCAACAGCTTTCAATATTCGATGCCCAAGCCTTTCCATAGTAAGAACAAAAATGTAGGGCGAAAGGGGATCGCCTAAACGTATTCCTCGCTCCGGAGAGAAAATTAAATTATGTTATTAAACACTTGTAAGTTTACGATTTAGTTTATATTCTCTGATTTATGTCCTTATAATTTAATTAAATTATTCTAATACTATATAGTATATGAATTAAACCCATAATCTATACTATACATAATACAAATATCGATAAAAAAAAATGTGACCAAAAGATTTTCAACTCGTAGAGATCATATTCAGGACTGTATGTGTTCTTAATTATTAACTAAGAAATTGATATCTTTTGTGAACTTTTTTCATATTGTATATGCATACATTGTGATGTCGTTTATCAATATTTAACTGCTGATTTAGGAGAAAAAAACCAAGCATTGAGTGATGGAGTCTGGTTTAATGTTTTTAGACCAAATTAAGTAATTTCTTGACCGAGATTCAACTTAAAGCCTTGTAATAAACTGGAACTTTGTAGTGAAATAAATTGAAGATTTTGGTCCTCTTAACAATACAGTAGACAAGAGGAAGGCTACAATGGCTGACAACAAATGCTTTGTTATCAGTCTTCTTCTTCATTTACCACTGCATTTGCTTGGTTACCAAGTAACCCAAAAACAATAATTCAGCATACTGAACCCTGAAATCCTACAAACTAGACACCGATTGATGATAGTTTATGATGTGGTTTCTCATCCTCACTTAATTGCAACTCTTTGAAGGGCTTGTTTGATCATCCCTGCAGGTGCAATGGCTGCTCCTCGAAACTGGGAAAATAAAAAAGACCGGTTATTCTTTAGAGTGTAACAATAAAGAACTGAGGATTCTGTTTAAAATAAGCCTCTGATCTATCGAACAAACCTTAGATTTCAGGGTTAATGTAACGAGACCGTCGAGAGTTCTCGATTGAACTGTGTGTGCATCCAAATGTAGGTTGTTTATAGCTTCCATGATATCCAGAAACAAGAATTCCCTGGAAGGACACCTTATGTCAATTATAACTTCCAGTTCTTTTATGCTTACTCTCACATCAGGTGCAAGGCCATCTTTTGGTGTACTCCTCTTTAAATCCGAACCGGTTTCTTGGAGGCTTTCATCAAAGTCACAAGCCTTCCTCTCGTTTATCCAAGACTTCTTGGCATTGTCAACTGTCCTGGTTTCGTAATTATCTGATGTCTGCTCCACCGCATCCAGGCAATTCCGTCTTAGCCTTGCCTCGAACTCCATCGAATTCTTGCAATATTCCAGTTCTTCTATCCTTTCTTCCAGTTCTTTCAAGTACTTAATCGTATCCTTGAGAATTGATTCTTTGTCAACCTGCAAAAACAAGCACTATATTTGTAGAACACTAAATGTATATGTATGTTTTGTGTCACAGTGGATGAAAGTCGATTAACCTCACTGATGGAAGGAACCATTGACCCGAGGAGCCGGAATTTCTCTTCCTCCCTAGTTCTCTCTGGCAAGGCACATCGTATGGCATTCTCATCTTTTTCCGGTTTCCCAAGGCAATCTTTTCTACCATTTTCCTTCACAGACCAAAGAAAATTGCCTCCATGCATTAGAGGCACTGCAAATAGAATCTTTTTAAATATGTTTTGTTGTACCCTTGGTCTATAAAAATTTGTCATCCATTCTTTCTTCCATCCGACAAAACTAGATTTATAGCCACAGGTACGAAAACCGGGGCTTTCGATCGACCAGTTTGAACTTCTTAGAACAGCAGAAACAGTTCTCTTGTAGTGCAAGTCATCATCAACTTCGAGATCCAATGAGCTTATCGTTTGATTGCCTTCGTGGAGTTCTTTAAAACGAGAATGGCTTACACTTTCCAGCTTGGGAGAGGAGATTGCAGCTTTTTCTTGAATACCAAAGTCGCCATCCACGAAATGCCAACTTTGAACTTGAGAAGCAACACCTTTCACGTCTTCGACCATGAATGAGTCATCCATCTGATGATTTTGTTCGCCTCCATTCGACCACTCGTCAGCGGAAACGATATCGAAATCTTCATTGATACTTTCACGAAATTCATTGAATTCCTCGTGATCAAATTTGATTTTCTTTGTAGGGGAATAGAGGTTCTCCAAGTCCAACAAATCAACTATCCCATGGTTGATCTCGGCGCATATAGGATCTTTGTCATCATCTGAATTATGAGAGACCGAAGAAGATTTCTCGGAGCAAACAGGCTTTGAGAAGTCCAGCAAGGAAGCTTTAATATGCTGAAGCAGATTCGCATCCTCCAGAACCTAAATAATTTAGAATTTTCAGAGAAAATAACCTTCATCTTTTAAATTATGAACTTAAAAGAACTTACTAGTTCAGTCACACCAAGCTCAATAACACCTCCAAGGTAGGGAAAACATACCACAGTCTGCAAAACAAAAACAATAGCCAATATGTTGAATTAATGTCAAGATAACGAATCAACATCGGAAGATCAGACGGCTAATTTTCCGAAAAGATCGATATGATCTTTACCTGAATAGATGCACTCTAAGGGAAACGTTTCAACATCGAGTCATGTAAAAACCAAGTTCACAGGGAAATAATGTCAGTCAATTGACATAAGATTAACAACACTCGAGCGGGGGGGGGGGGGGGGACCAACCTTTGCAAGCAAAGAGCGGGAGAATACTTTGCTATCTGCATGTTGAGCATTGCATAACCATATGGTTTCACCACTCGCCAGTGCTTTTCCCGGCAACCTATGCAACGATGTAAAAAAAATTGCTAACAGACAGAACACCAAAATAAAACATACATTAAGCAAAACAACAAACACATGGAAGACATTAGGGATTCATTAGTATTACCCTTGTCCGGTATCGAATACGAAGGACATGCAGACCAAGTAATACCACTCTGTATCAGACAAATCCTCCGGAGATAATGCAGCTGAAGATCTTTTAGTTTGATCAGAATCACCTTCCAACAGAGATTCATAAAGCTCTTTCAATTGTTCACTCCTCTGTAGACCAATTTTATCTGCTTTAAGCTCAAATGCTTGCACTGTCTTCCTAGTCTTGATGTCTCCATTGTAGTAACCATCACCCCATTGAAGCTCCCTGGTGATTGTCAAAGTTAAAAAAGGGATATTTAAACAAAAATCTGATCAAAGTTGATGAATACGAAAGGCGAAAAAGACCCTTGTGTAGCTGATAAAGACCAAAAGATTGCATAGCTCCATTGGATACTCCTTACAGCAACTGCAAGCTGTTTCCTTAAGTTTTCTGGCACACCACCAACCTGGTTTTTAACAGCATTAGCCATTACACATAACAAAATATGACTGGAATTTTTCAACGTGGTTCTGACTGGTTTTTTTTTTCTCTCAGCTAACCCAGATGAGATTTTCTTGCTTTCAGTAGACTGGATATGTCCAAACTCAAAAGGGCAGGGCAGGGCCAAATACAATTTTTGGAGCTTATATTATTTGTGTTTCTTTTCTCAAGATTTCAAGTAGCAAAGGCCAACAATGTCCGAAATTAATAAAAACAGGGTGCAGAATGATATGGTGACATGTTTTTAAATAAATGGAAAACACGATTTCTGTCTGCCAATTATCCCTTGCACCATTTTCCTCATAATTCATTGTGTGTAATATAAGTTTTGTTAACTCTCCCTTTATGACTCAAAAATGAAAAAACGTAGAATTATAAGCTGGAAATTATTTAAATTAAATTTTAATAAATTAAATTTTTAAAATTTTAAAATTTTAACAATATATTATACATAAAATTATAAATCATCAATAAATTTATTATCTTTTAACATAATAGTACTCTCTTATTTAATAAAAAAAAGTGTTAAAATATTTAAATGAATTATTAATTAATGTTATATGGAATCAAATAATGTAAGTCGTAATGGGTTCGGTCCATAGACCAGCAGATGTGACAGCTTTATCCATGTAACTTTTCTTGTTTGGTCTTCATTAAAGGCAAAATCTTTATTTGAGCCAACACAACCCCACTTATTAAAATATATATATATAATATTTTATTAATTTTTATAATCAAAATTAAATAATATATATATTAATATATTTCAATTATATTTAAATTAGATCGGATAGACTTATCAGTTCATAAATAAATTTAATTTTTTAAAAATGAAATTGATAAAAAAATAATAAAATGAAATAAATTTATTTAAAACATAGCATTATCTCATCAAACAATGGTGAAAAATTAAATGGGATAATCTCATTTCGGCATATGATCTTACTAATTGTAAAATTACCTAAAGGAGACTGATTTTACCTAAGGAGAGGAGAAAAGAAAGAAGATGAAGAGCAAGAATGGTAGGTGAGGTTAGTAAAAGGCAGGAACAGTCAAAGGGGCGATGTCAGGATTTTATGGTAAACAGCCGACTCAATACCAATGAGCAATCGGAAGAAGGGTGTCCCCCCTCTACGAATTTTCTGAAATTTGCAATATTATAATATTTTTAGTTAATATTTTATATTTTATTAATAAAAATATTTTAATTTAGCAAAATTCATACTCCACCATAAGATCTTTTTAAAATAGTTTAATTCTTCTATTTTTATTATATCATTAAATATTTGTTTTTTAAATAATAAAAATATATTTAAATATATAATATTTTATAATTCTTATAATCTAATTAAAATAATAATAATACCGGTCAATCCATTGTTCTTCCAGTTTTCACTTCCTTTTTACTATAAAGAAGAATAAAAAGGGAGAAATAAAAGATTACAAACACATCATTTGATTGACGAGATGGCCCACTGTTTTCTGCAAAATGATGTTAATGGCTTAACTGGCACATCACATCACATCTCAGCATCAAAGTTAACGAATCTTAAACATAAATCTTATATAAATACAAGGGAAATTATCTTGCACGTAAATGATGTAAATTAAATATTAAGATTTAAAATTTAAGAGTTGTGTTAGGATTTTAAATATTAATATTTTACATTAAAATAGACAGAGTATATAAAATACATTTTGCATAGTTTGTATATTAGATAATGATCTTAAATTTAGTAAATAATATACGAAAAATTACATGATCCATAAGTTTTTACACAAAGTTCAGTTTAATAATATGTACGTTGACTGTGATTTAAAGTTTAGAGTTGATAGTTTAGGATTTAAGGTATAAAATATAGAAAATTAGGATTATAAAATTTAGTTTTAAATTCTAATTTTAAATGACGAAAACTATATAAATTTTAATTTACATAACTTATGTATAAAAAATTACTTAAAATTTATACCACCTAAGTTAGAATTGTAAGAAGATTGATAGCTCTAAAAAAGTATTGAATTAAAATCCAATAAATAAAAATAAACATTCTGAATGTTTTATTTTTATTAAATGTTTGACTTAATTTAATTTAAGTATAGTTGAATTAGCTGCAGGAGTGATTCAAAAATATTTTTGAGATTAGATACATTCATATATTAACAATATAATTTTTTTATAGGGTGGAGTCGGACAAAATTTCATGATTGAAACAATTAATAAAATAAAAAATTACAAAATAAAATTTAAATTTTATAAGGTAAATACGTATCCACCTTCAATAAAGTGCGAACGTGGCTCTCACCAAGTGATATTATAATTGCCTATGAGATATATATTTAATGTTCTACTTCCTTAAGTTCTAATTAAACTTCAAAATATTTTACTGTTTTTAGTTAGAACTCTGTTACTTTTTTAATTAAGTCCTTAAACTAATTTATTAAAATTTACGTGTATTGTTTATTATTTAATAATCTGAAATTTTCACGCGGGAGCAGCCTTTTTTCCGGTTTTTATTTGAACTCCACACATGAATTTTGTTGAATGAATATATTTAGATATATATATTCATTGTATTTATTTTGTGTGTTTTTTAACAGAATTATTTCATAATTTTCATTTGTGTTGGTAAAGTAAAAGATCGAAGGATGCAGAGTTTATTGATGGGACGGGGCATGGGTAAGATGATAGAGGTTCAGATGAAACCATGTGATTGATTGAGGGTTCTTTAATCATAACATCAGACAACATACCAAAAGGAAAATTCGAAATCAACGTCAAGCATGTGATAGCGAATGATGATCCATGACCTACGACTCTGATAAATCTAATTATTATAAAATATAACAATAACGATGAGCCCGCAATAGGTGGTGACGATAAGATCGATTCTTAGAGAGAAAACTGGAGAGAGAGAGAGAGAGAGAGACCATTGACAACCCTAATCTGAAAAAAACTATCATTTAAGTTGGTCCAACTTTTTACCGTTGTAAATCAACTTAGGCCAACCATGAACAAGATCGAAGCTCTGCAACATCATTATCAGCACTGAATCGAGCATGAACTGGCGTGGATGAGGATGAATCGGTGAAGAAGACAGTTCAATGATAATTTTTAAGAAAAAAAAACATAATTTTACTGACCAAAACATAACAACATGCGTTAAAAAATATTAATAATGTTGACGTATCATCATACTTAAAAATAAAAAAATATCATATTAATAATTTTATTAAATTTTAATGATGAATGATCAAAATGAAATTAAAATTAAATATTATATATGATCTTGAAAAAAATAATTGGATGATCAAAACGGAACAAAAGTGATAATTGAGAATGTTAAAATTGTACGTTACCCTAGAATATATTGATATCGATAGTCTGAGGATTAAAATAAAAGTAAATTAAAACTTAGAGATGAATTTAAAATGATAGACATAGTTTGGGTACTTCAATTGCAATTAACTCTTATTTTTACTTCATCGACAACCGAGAATCGGAAAATAGTACACTCTCGCAATGCTCTTGGTCTTGGATCCATAAATGATAAAACGTCATCGTTAAGTGTTTCTTTCCCTCATTTTTCCCGCCAAAAAAAATCACTCATCGCTCCCTCTTTTCCGTTGAATTTTCCGATGCAAAAGAAAAAAGCAATAAAATAAAATGATCCGATTATTCTAAATCAAGGAAATTCTTCATAGATGTTTTCATTTTATTTTATTTGGAAGTTGATCTCTGCGAAGTGTTCAGTTACATTTTAATTCAGGCAATTACTGAAAAAATGGCGGTTTCACCAGTTCGGCTATTCAATAGTTTATGCTCGCCACGTACACCGGCTACAGCTTACTCAACATTGCATTCTAGGTCTCCGAACTCATTGACTTACGAATCGTTTCGTGTCAAGGGAGGTTTAGGTTATTCTCTTTCCAGATCGTCTCGGGATCGAGCCCTAGGTAGAGAGAAAGGGTAAAGAACAGAGGATTATCCACTCGTCGGTGATTCTACAGATAACAATCAGGTAAAAAAACAAGAAGTTTACAATCCTTTGTATTTGATTATTGTTTTCACTAGAAATAGAATCGATTGAGAATCTAAAGCTAAATGTCTCTATTTTTAGTAGGATGCAGACTCATGGCCGATGTCATTACAGCGTGATTTTGCTGGCACACCTTATGTTCCTGCATATGTTATGCTGCCGGTTAGCATTTTAAACTCGATCCAATGTTTTTTCTTTTGGGAAATGTTGCTTGGCGAAGACTAATTTTTTTATATTGTTTGTGTTATATAATGCCGTGTTTGGAAGCTGGGTGTTATTGACACGAATTGTGAGTTGGTTGACCCAGAGGGTTTAAGGAATCTGTCAATTATTTTGAAGTCGGTTAATGTGGATGGTGTAATGGTTGATTGCTGGTGGGGGATAATTGAGGCGCATGCCCCTTAAAAGTATAATTGGACTGACTACAGGAGGCTTTTCCAAATTGTGCGTGATGTTGGGCTTAAGTTGCAGGCGAGTAGCAGTGCTTTAATTCATGTTTTGTTATTTTTGTTTTAACAACTATACATTCCGTGACATTTGTTTCTTGTATTCCCTTCACTTTTTTGGTACGATGTAGGATAGGAAAAGACTAGTTACTAGTTATTCCACATTTTATCTTTAAATTATGAGCTTGTGATGACCTGACTTGATCTTTAAACACTATCTGAATTATTACCTTTAGTAGTCTATGTAAAGCTGAACTGAGATGAGGTGGTTTACTCCTTGTTTATTTATCAGTATCTTAGTTTAGTTTCATATAGGATTTTATATCATTTATATGAAATATTTACATGGAAATCAATATCTTTTCAACTGAGATTATTTGCCCCTTGATCTTTTCAAAATCATCTTCCCGGTCCTTGATATGAAATGAGCACAGGTTGTAATTTCATTTCACTAATGTGGAGGGAATGTCGGCGATGATGTGAATATTCCACTCCCTCAGTGGGTAACAGAAATTGGGGATAGCAACCCTGATATATATTTCACAGATAAAGAAGGAAGGCGCAATACTGAATGCCTTACATGGGGAATTGATAAGGACCGGGTGTTAAGGGGCTGAACTGCTGTTGAGGTAATAGTAATACAGTTAATTATGGTTATGATTCTATCTATTAATGATAACTTTTGACAGTTTTTTATACTTTCTCTCTCTTGTTTGGTTCTGCTCTCTTCTTGCGTGGCTGTGATTCTGGACATCAATAAGTTGATTTATTAGGATTTTTTCCTTTCTTTAACTTTTTTCTCTTTCTCACTTTTTTATTTTTTTGGTTGAGGTGTCAGAGATAAATTTCCAAATTTATCTTTCAATCTTTTAATTGTTTAGCAATTAAAAGTAAGCTTTCAAATATATGGTTTTCGGATATTCTCATCCTCACAGATTTGAATTACATAAGATTGGAGAATTTGTCTCTTATTTTTTGCTTTCTTTTCCTGAATCATTTGCCAAATAAATTTATTTCTTTTGGTACGTTGCTAACTTTTAAGAGGATATTGGCTTGATATATAAGTGCAGGTTTACTTTGACTTCATGAGGAACTTTCGTGTAGAATTTGATGATTTCTTTGTGGATGGAGTGATATCTGAAATTGAAGTAGGACTGGGTCCTTGTGGGGAGCTACGCTATACTTCTTATCCTGTAAAGTCTGGTTGGAAATATCCCGGTATAGGTGCATTTCAGGTACATTTTAAATGACCATATATTCAGATATCTTTTGTAATTTGATTGGATCTTTGGTAATTACCTATCAGTTTTGATGATTCAACATTAATTGATATGTTTTCAATTCTTACCTTCCAATCCCTAATGGAACCCTTATTTAGTTCAGTGTTATGATAAATATATGATGAAGAGTCTAAGGAAAGCAGCAGAGAAAAGAGGGCATACTTTCTGGGGTAGAGCACCAAATAATGCTGGTTCTTATAATTCCGTACCTCATGAGACTGGCTTCTTTCGTGATGGAGGTGATTATGACAGCTACTATGGCAGGTTCTTTCTTAATTGGTACTCAATTTTTGGTTGATAACGGTGATCGTGTGCTTGCCCTGGCCAACTTGGCTTTTGAAGGCAGTTGCATTGCTGCAAAGGTCAGTGCTGCAGCCTGCTCTCCTCTATGTACTGATATAAATTATATGTTTCTAAATAAAACTACAAGAAAACTCTTTGCTTCATTTTGTTGTAAACAACTGTGGTTCTGCTTTGATTTTATTCCCAGCTATCAGGTATTCATTGGTGATATAAAACAGCTAGCCATGCTGCAGAGCTGAATACTGGTTTTTACAATTCTGCACATCGTGATGGCTATGCTCCAATTGCAGCAATGTTGAAGAAACACGAGGTTGCATAAACTTCACGTGTTGAATTGCGCACCTTAAGCCAGCATGAGGGCTTCCCAGAGGCAATGGCAGACCCAGAGGGATTAGTTTGGTAGGTAATAGCTATTTTTTTTTTCAAAAAAGATAAAAATAAAAAATTCTGGAATCTGGTTTTACTAAATTAGAACACATTAAGAAATGGATTATTGCTATGTTAGTTTGTTCTAGGATACAAATGGATTTAACTGTTTTCTTTGATGTTAATAATGGGGAAAGAGAACATGGACAATAGTGGTTTTGATTTCCGACCAAATTCCTAATTTCAGTCTAGTATAAGAATCTTTGCGCAGGGCCCGTTCAATTGGCTATCATAAATTGGAACGTGGATGTTGCACTATGGCTTGGTTTCTTAGGTGGTGTTTATTTTTGCAGAGGTAAAAAGTCTACAGTCTGCGGACCACATCTGCAGCAGAATAGGTGGACTAAAAGTCTGCAGTCTACAAGAAGAATATTGTTTTTTTAACGTCTGCAGACTGCAAAAATAAACTGAAATATAAATAAACTGATTTTTTAAACTTAAACGAGTTTTGTAATACTGATATTTAAATCATTTTAGTTTTAAGATACTGAAATTTAAATAATATATACAACTACAATAATAAAATTTTTAAAATAAATCAATCTATATTTTAAAATAAATCAATCCATACTGAATAAATTATTTAATAAATAACCTTATTAAATTAACGTCTGCAGACTGTTAAAATAAACTAAAATATAAATAAACTGATTTTTTTAACTTAAAAGAGTTTTGCAATATTAGATTTAAATAATTTTAATTTTACAATACTGAAATTTAAATAATCCATACAATTACAATAATATTTTTTTTAAAAAATAAATTAATCCATATTTTAAAATAAATTTTAAAATAGTTTTGTAATACTCATATTTAAATAATTTTAGTTTTACAATACTGAAATTTAAATAATCCATACAACTACAATAATAAATTTTTTAAAATAAATCAATTCATATTTTAAAATAAATCAATCTATATTTTAAAATAAATTTTAAAATAGATTTAAATAATTTTAATATTTTTTTGAAGAGGCTTTAAAGACTTAAGGCCACGTCTGCGCCAAGAAGAGGACGTGCAGACGTTAGAGCTTCTATATTCTAAAAAACAAACGGTCTGCGAAGTTCAATGTCTGCGTGGCGCAGACATACAAGTTTTGAAGACCTTTAACAGTGAAAACAAACACCACCTTAGCAAACCACATCTAATTTTGCCACCATCTTTCTAATTTCCAGGTGCTGAATGCTGCATGGGATGTTTCCATACCTGTTGCCAGTGAGAATGCTCTTCCATGCTACGATAGAGAAGGCTATAATAAGATACTAGAAAATGGCAAGCCCTGAAACGACCCAGATGGCCGCCATTTATGTGCTTTTACCTACCTCAGGCGCAGCCCAATTCTGATGGAGAGACAACTTTCAGGAATTTGAAAGATTCATCAAAGGGATGCACGGTACTACCATATTAGCTTCACTTCTCTCATTCATGCTTTCATTTTGATAAAGAGATGATCATCCAAAGTAGTGGATTTGGCTCGATAAACCGAGGCTTAGTATCCGTATTTGGAGCATGTACTGCTTCTAAAACTGAATAAACCGCGTGCCTTTTATCACCGAACTGAAACTACCCTCATCATTTTACAGGGGAAGCAATATCGGATCTCCCACCGAAATGAAAAGCCTGCTACACACGAGTGGAAATGATAGATAGGTTGCTGCTAAGGGGAAAGAAATATACGTATAAACTCAGTGGATGTTCTTTTTTACATAAATGATATGATTTAGGCTACCTATGTAAAGATATATGCTTAAGAACACGATTGATTCCCTCAAGTTAGCAGGAATATACCAAAATCTGCAGTCCCCACCAACCCCAAGCAAGCTTATTTTATCTGCAGACATCACATCAGAAAACTTCATCTTTCCCTTGTGTAGATGTTAAAAACGTGTTAAAGGATTTCCAAATTCTGTAAAGTAGAAGATGTTTAATTGGTGCTGAGCTCAATTATGTTGGAACAATGATTTGTATTGAATTATCTTAGTTTTCGAGATTTGCTTCGACGGGGCATCCATTCTTCTCACCACTTTTGATCTTTCAATTGTTCTAATCTATAAAATTTTATTATTCAATTAAAATATAAATCAAATATTAAATTTATTATTTTGATATTAAATATGATAACCAATTAACATAAATATGTATTAATTTAATTATGCGATATTTAAAAAATTAAAAATCAATTAATTTTAATTCGATTAGTATATTATTATCATAATATATAAGAAGATCGTTACATGACTATTAGGTTAACGGGCCCATGGAGCCTTGAACTGCAAACTATAAATAAGCATAAAAAGCGGAAACCGTAGTCTTTCGTCGCCTTTGTGCAGCGGAGGGGTGAGACCGCCATTTTAAGCCTAATTGAAAACTTCAAATTCTTTTCCCCGTCTCGGAAGCTTACTTCTGCTATTCTCTTTATTGCAGCGTCGGAGTTTTGTAGGAGCTTTTCAGTCGGAGCTGTTTGGTAGGTGAGAAAACACGTTGAAAGTTGAAACTTCTTCTCCCCCCCTGCATTGTAGTTAATTCGTGTCTTATTTTGTTTTTGGAAAATTTATTTATTTTTATTTAGCTTGAAATAGCATAAAGTTCTTCCGTGGTTTCCTATCTGGAATTTTGAATGTCTAAGGATTTGGTTTCCTGGAAATGATGTGCTTCAAAACAGTTGCTTTGGTTCCAAAGCTATACTCTGAAGTTCATAATTCCGAAATCCTTTTTTCTTTTCTCCGGAACTAATAAGAAGTTTTACTGATGATGGTTCTTTTAACAAAATTTATTGTCTGCTAAACAGTTAAATAGGTTGTAGAGTCTTGGTATGATTGGGACATACTTTTATGATTGTGCTAAATTCAATTTGATAAATTAACCATTCCATTCGATCCTTTTTAACATCATCTTCTTGTACCATTAATGTATACATTAATCTTTTAGAGATTTTGAGGTACTTAGTTGAACTTGCCGAATTTGATTCATGAATGGATGCAAGGATATTGAACTTAAGAAATTATATTAGAAATTTAGGAGTGCAAAATTACAAATTTTATCATGAATAGAAAATACAAAGAAAATGATTAAACTATATGTGAATTTGAAATTTCCGGGATGAGACTGCAGCCAGCACCCCTAGGTCCATCCTGGTTGGATGATTAAACCTTGTAACTTGAGTTTTACTTGTTTTTAATATTTTCGATGTGGGAAGAAATGCTGTAAAATCCCAATCATTATTACATTTCACAAAAACCTCTGATTGTTAGTTTTAAATTAATACTCGAGTTACGTTTTTTCCCTTGTGAAGTTTGCTTGTAACTAAGTCTGCAAATTTCTTAAATATTTATAGTGATTTAGTATCATGTGTATACACAAATCACAATCTTTGTTCCTTTTTATGGTGTAAGGGGTGAGGTGGTTTTAGAGTTTGAGATAATTCCTTGATCCATGGTAACATGGCATGAAAGTATAGACCCCAATAGTTGGAGTCATTCACTATTCAATTATCTGTAACATGAATTACATTCTATTTGTCTTTGGCATCAACAAGTTTACGCGATTCGGTTCCCTTTCTTGGACTGGTTTCGAATCTGAATTTTTCATGCTGGGTGGTCCTTTAAGGTGATGGCTCCAAGTCAACCTAATTCTGGCCTTTTCGTAGGCTTAAACAGAGGTCATGTTGTCACCAAGAAGGAATTGGCTCCCCGTCCGACTAATAGAAAGGGGGTAAGTTCTATTTTTCAAATTATCATGCTGTTGGTAGGGGTGTAAATGAACCGAGCTTGAACGAACAAGTTTATGTCGCACTCCTAGCTGTTGCACTCCTGAATTCTATGAGGCTATAATGGTAGCTTATATGATGAAGTTTTTTGGCAAGATACCTTTAGAGTGGCTTCCTTTTTTCTTAAGAATGGCGTAGTCCCGTATGCATCCTCATGTTTCATGCGATTTCGGTCATGCGATCTTTTGGATGGTTGATATATTCTGTATTTTTTGTTGTAGAAAACCAGCAAGAGAGTGCACTTTGTAAGGAGCTTAATAAGGGAGGTTGCTGGTTTCGCACCATCTGAGAAGAGGATAACGGAACTTCTCAAGGTCGGGAAAGATAAGCGAGCATTGAAGGTGGCGAAGAGAAAGCTAGGCACTCACAAGAGGGCCAAGAAGAAGCGTGAAGAGATGTCCAGTGTCCTCCGCAAGATGAGGTATTTTACTATGAATTTAGTCCAATGATAACCGAGTTATTATAAATCATTTATTTTTCGAGTGTTTTAAGATGACCAATTTTTTCATTCACAGGTCAGCTGGAGGTGCAGAGAAGAAGAAGTGATTTTTGAGGATGTTGATGTTTCAGATAGCAAAACTCTAATTACAAGTAGGGACTTAAACAAGATCTTTATTTTCTCAAGTTTCCTTTTTTTTCCCAATTAAATTATTTGGAGATTGTCGAGTTGAGTTTTGAGTTGGAGTAAATTAATGAGTTGAATCAGAGCATTTTAATATTCAAGTATTTTGAGTTTTTTTTATTATCATTAGTTTATGGTTTTCAATTAATATTGAAAATTTTACATTTATATTTGAGAGCTTGAAGTGAGTATAAAGTCAAATCCAATTGGTTTAGCAAAAATATGCACAAAAATATATAAATTTACAAAAAAAGAAAAACATAATACTATATATATGGTTAGAAAAAATAAATTACGTTAATGTATAAATTGTTTTTAAATGTTGTATTGATTTAATTTTATTTTTCCTTATAAATATTATAATAGGAATATTAATTTAATAAGTAATGTATATGTTTGATTGATTGAAAATGTACGTAGATAAAATTATGCTAATATTAATTAATGAGGTTTAAATAAAAAAAATTCAAGGATCAAATTTTTTTTCGAGGGACCAAATATAAAATTGTCACGCTTTTAAATAATATGTGAAACATAAAAATATTTAAAATAATATATTTATTATTAATTTTTAATAGTATAATATTCTTAAAATAATAACTTAATTGAATACTATTCATATATACTAAAAAATATAAAATTATTTAACTCATTTTTTTATTTTAAATTTTATATAAATCGACAATAACATTTACTTCAATAGTTTGATATCTTCGTACTCTCCGATTAGCTTAAGTTCAAAAAATTTCTTTGTTATTTTTCTCTCCATTTTTTCTGGTATTAATTATAATGTGAAATATATAAAACATGTCATAACCTATTTATAAATAAACACGAACGAAGTTATTTTAGTAGCTAATAGATTTATTGTTATTCTTAATATTTCGAGTTTGAGCATCGCATATATAAAAGTACGAGTCTTTATTGTTAAAGGATTGAAAGTCTTTGAACATATATTTTATTGTATTTATTTCAAATTTATCTGAACCAAACATGCATGTTGATATAGGGATAAAAGCACGCTAATCTCCCTGTCTCCGTCTCATTGTATCTTCTCATTGGAAGGAATTTTTTTAATTAAACTAAATAAATTGAAAAAAAAACTTTTAATCAATTTTATACGATGATTAAGTTTATTAAATCAAATAGAAATAAAAACAAAACTGATAAAATATATAAATAATAATAACTAAATATATAATTGTATCAGGTTATTAAAGGTCATACCAATTCTTCAGTTAACTAACTATATGTAATCTAATTGACATATTTCAAATAATTAAATAATTTAATTAATAAAATTAAAAAACGTATACTCAGTTAAAAACTTAAAATCAGCTCATAATTAAGTGATAATTACCCGTATATTTTTTCTCCACATAAAACAGAAGGGTCAGCCACATCCACTTGATCCTCATTTGGCACTCCAGTCATCTATTCTTCTGTTTCCGTTTTCGGCCTTACACGATTACGCCCTTACTTTAATGAACAACGAAGCAGGTGAATAGTTTTATTTTTGGCTCCGTCAGTTGATTTCCGGTATCCCCCCTCTAAATTATGCGCTAAGTTTCTCCGAACTGTGTGCAACCTTTTGTTTTTCTTTGAAATTTTGCAGTGATCGAGTTTTTAGGCAACGTTCCGTTGCTGCAGAGATTGCCGAGTTCTTCGTTAAAGAGAATAGCTGAAGTAGTTAATTTTAAGCACTACGGTAATTTTTGAAGTTCTGATCCAAATTCAGTTTATTGAAATATTCGCAATTTGATTTTTTTTTCATTTGATCCTCGTGACTGCATCTGTCTTTCTATGATTTGCTTTGTGTGCTTCCAAACAGAATCTTTCATCAGGTTAAAGCAATCTACAATGAAATATATTAAAACTGATTATTTATTGGATTTGCCTAAAACGATTCGCGTTGCAGAGAAAGGAGATTTTGTCGTTCGGGAAGGAGAAGTTGGAGATGGAATATATTTCGTATGGGAAGGAGAGGTATGTTTTTCCCCTTATTTACAGACATTATTATTTTCCGTTTGGTTGTTTTATTTATTTATTTTCTTTTCAAAAATTATTAATATATATTGACGACCAGGAAATAGCTAAAATTGATAATTTTGTATTCAAATAAGTAATATTTGTTTCTAGAAGAAAAAAAAATCTGAACCAAATAGAGTCCTTTTGTGCTGAGTTTCAATTTCTTGGTTTATAGGCTGAAGTGTCCGGATCAGTCCATGCTGAAGAAGAAAACCGACTTGAGTATCAATTGAAGAGATATGATTACTTTGGCCATGGTTAAAGCTTCTCTATCTTTCCTTCATGTGATATTTTTGCAGTTTTTTAGTATTGGCCTGTTTTAGTATGTAGTATTTTTGTGTGTATTCATGTCTTTGATACTCTTATATGAATAGGGGCTTAAAATCAACTAATGATGGAGAACATAATCGTAAATCGAATATGATTGTGCTTTCTTTTGCAGTTAGTCCCACGTCAGTGCACGTGGCAGATATAGTCGCTTTAACTAAGGTCGCTACATGTTTTTTAGTTCCCTTTTGCATACTTTTCTTGATTAGAACATCCCAACCGCTTATAAAAATGCATTCAGACAAAAATAATATGGACTGCCTGTTACTACAGCTGACCTGCCTGTTTCTACCTCATGAGCATTGCACTTTGCTTCTGTCAAAATCTATCTGGAGCACAGATACGACGAATGAGACCTGTGCACTTGTGGAAAGTATATTGCATTTGGAGCCAATAGAAGTATGCGTCTTCTATTTTCATTTTATTCTATTGCCATTAGGAAGAGTGAGAAGTTTTAAAGTTCATGTTTCTTGATATACTTTTAATTGTGACAATTTTCTTTCCTTTTAGAAACATGTTATAGTGTTGGGAAACAATGATCTAACTAGATTCTTCTTATAACCTCCATACTAAGACATTTTTCTTTCGTCTTATTGAAGTTAAATATATTCCAAGGTATCACTTTGCCAGATGCACCAAAATTTGGTAAAGTTTTTGGAGGACAATTGGTCGGGCAGGTATGTTTAAGCATCTTTCTCTCCATTATCCATCTTGCCTATGTGAGGTTCCTCAAGTTTACCTTATATGATAGAATAAATTAGTATGCTTCCTTTTTGTTTACTTTTGTGCTTGATGCGTATGACAGACAATGATATTTCAGCACAGTTGTTTTAGGTGAAGATTATAAGTTTCTGGTAGTAGTTTGTAAGGTTAAATGTTGGCCTCATATTCTTTTTCTGATTCGTAAAACTATTTAAAATTCTGGCACTCAAACACCAAACGTCTTGAGTGTTGACCAAATGGTAAATATATTATGCTCTTGCTCATTAATTTATTTATGTAGATATATAACTAAAATATAGAGGTTGGTATTTAGTTACTACAGAGGCCGTACACTTATTGCATAGAAACAGAGAGAAAAAAGGAAAATATAAAGAAACTTGACTTGTTTCATGATATGTAAGCATGGTGCTTGCTTCTGATTTTTCAACATTAAGTGGTTTAATTCGCTTGATGTTGTTGTTGTCTTATTTGTTTCCTGTTGATTACCATGCTGTTTAAACTGAGGTAACTGCTTCCTTCTTTTTCCTTTTGGTCATCAATTATTCAGGCGCTGGCTGCTGCATCAAAAACAGTTGATTCTCTTAAAATTGTACATGGTTTGCACTCTTATTTTCTTATGGTTGGGGATTTTAATAGTAAGTGTCTTATCTGTGAGCATTATTGCAGTAAATAGATCCATCGTACTTTTTTGTCTTTTTGAAACTTCCTACTGTTGTTATGTTAACAGTTTAACTAAATTTTTGCATGACACTATAATCCCTCACTTTTAATCTTCATAACTTTAACAGTTTGAAAATGTCGAAGCTAATAAATTTCATTCTTCATTCTCTATCTTCCCATAATTTGGAAGGATATCCTAGCCTTCTGTACATTTTAAATTGAAGTTGGATTATGTGAGTAAAGAAGGCAGAAGATATGCCATGACTCATGACCAGAAAGAAACGAATATTAGGTGCCAAATTGTGCAAATAGATGAAAAAATATTAAACGCATTACCCTCTTTTCTTAAAATGAAAAAAAAAACTTGCAGTAAACTGGATAAGCAATTTTGTTTCGCTATTAGCTTCCAAAAGATTATTAATTTAATCCTGTTGCTTAAGAATTTGTCTTAGAAATTATGGCTGGGATGAAAGGCATTGATCATGCTGTTATAGCTATAAGTAAAGTTATTGAACATCCTTCATATCAAAAAAACCTAGTACCATGAATAGATGATAGCTTTGACATTGTTTTTCCTTATTGAGCTTTGCATGTTAAATCACTGATTCATCTTGAAATTATAATTAACTGTTCAAGTGAAATTTTTCGCAATAGAAAATATTTATACCTTCACGGAATTTTTTACAGTACCTATAATATATCAAGTTAATCGTCTACGTGATGGTAGAAATTTTGCTACCCGTAGAGTAGATGCAATACAAAAGGGAAACACCATATTCACATTATTAGCGTCCTTTCAGGTATGAAGTTTCTTCCTCATTTTATATTCAAAGGTTCCCATCTATTTTCCTAATTCTTCAATTATTGACCGTTTAGTTTTTCTGTATGAGCTTGACTTAAACAAATATTGACAGGTAGGTATAACTGTTATATCATGTATCTGTGAAGAACTATCATGATCCACTTTTTCACCTTCATGAAACAGTCCCTTTCTGTTATGCTATCTGTAGATCGATATAAATGGGATAAAATAGTGTGAGTGGCGTTTTAAATAATGCTAAAGATAAGTAGATCTGTTCAACATTGCTTATTCTGTTTTTTTATGAAGGTCTGCTTATTCTGTTCTTTTATGAAGGTTCCAATATTACTTATTCTGTTCTTTTACCAAAGCATTAGAAAACGAGTTGAATTTTCCCTTTTCAACTATTTAATAAACCAAATATTTATCTATAAAAAAAATATGCGAAGAAGATATTACATTTTTCGGTGCAGAGGTAGATGTTTGATAATGATAATATCTACTACAGTATGTTCTCTAGAAGTCTTTTTCTCCATTTATTATAGTTCTTTTATAATGGTTGGTTGGTTGTGAAATAGTACATGGCATGGGTCTCATTGTTCTAGGAAACTTCCTGATCTGTTGTAATATATGCACACATGATAACTTCTGAATGAGTAGTAATAGCATCTCAGGTTACTTGTACACTTGTATGTGCTGATCTTGCAGAAAGAAGAAGTAGGGTTTGATCATCAAGAAGCAATGATGCCATCTGTGCCAGCTCCAGATGGGGTAACTAATATATGCTCTAGTCTTTAAGTTAAAATTTCCCATCAGTTGGTGTGGTGGATAATTGGATAACAGGATTACTCTTTGACCTATTGCAGCTTCTGTCATTGGATGAGATACGAGACTCACGTCTCACTGATCCCCGTCTTCCTATGTAAGAATTTTAGCACTCACACTAATACTATATTTTATTTATATATGTAAACTTTCCATGGTTCAAAGCTTTAATATGATTTCAATACATTTGTTTCTTATCTCATTTTATTCTATATTATTACTTGGTTACTTCTTTGTTTTGTTGTAAACTTTGACATCCCCCCCCCCAAAAAAAAATGGGTGAACGAAAAAGGCAAACACATTATCTGATGGCCTCATATTTGTCTTTGGATAGTGTTTTCTTTTTTGGCTGTTATGTGAAATGCCTCACAGTCTTTTGTTTCAGGAGTTACCGGAAAAAGGTGGCCACAACAAAATTTGTTCCTTGGCCGATAGAGATAAGGCTTTGTGAACCTAACACTAATACAAACCAGACTAAATCTGAACCAAGGTTAGGCATTTTTCTGGTTTTGCATAATCTTAGCTTTTCCAATTCACTTGGAAATACGAATGTTACATATTAATATGCATTAACCAATTTAGCTGCCACATTATCATTTTTCGGTTCAGTGCTATATCTTATTTGAGAATGATTTTTTGCTTCACAGTTTGAGGTATTGGTTTAGAGCCAAAGGAAAGCTTTCAGATGATCAAGCTTTGCATAGGTCAGTGATCCCTTTAAATGCTAAAAACTTCTCCTTTTGTCTATACATACGCCTTTCTTCTTTGGCTCTGCTCAAGACTTGGCAAAATTCTCGGAACCTTTTTTGCATATAATGTAAGCTTATTTGAGTTTGTTCTGTCCATGGCCATGTGTACATCCACATCCACTCTACTTCCCCATCTTATCAGAGAATTATAAGCTTATGGCAACAGTTGTATATATAGATTGGGGTTGTTGATAAAGCCTTCTTATATTTTATTAATTTTCTGTTTTGCAGATGTGTAGTGGCTTTTGCTTCTGATCTGATGTTTAGTGGTGTTAGTTTGAACCCACACCGCAGAAGAGGTTTTAAGTTAGCTTCCCTTAGCCTGGACCACTCGTAAGCATCTGCTATAATCTACCTAATATCGACTATTCTTTTGTCCGTGGGTCACTTATTCCACAACTCAGAATTCATTTTCTCTTGCTTCAATATTCAGAAAATTTATGCATATATGACATTATCTACTCTTTTGTTTGTGTTTACCAGGATGTGGTTCCACAGGCAATTTAGGGCTGACGATTGGTTATTATTCGTGGTAGGTTCAAGATTGATGTATATTCTCACATATGAATTATGTTTGAATTTGTTTTCACTTTCTTGACGAAAGAAATTGTTAATGGAACTAATGACACACAGATTGCAAGTCCTACGGCCTGTGTCACTCGTGGTTTTGTTTCGGGCCAAATGTTCAACAGAAAGGGAGAGGTATTTAGTTTATCCTTTCTTTATCTCGCAGTTCCTTCCCTTATTCCACCAAATTCCTTTTTTGTGCCGTTGACCCATTCATCACACTCGTATATCTTGATTTGCAGCTTGTTGTGTCATTGACTCAAGAAGCACTGCTTAGGATGGCTAGGCCCCCAAATCCATCGACTGTCTCAAAGCTTTGAACTACCGTGTAATATTAAATTATCTAGTAATGTGTTAATCTTTATGGTCAAACTTGAAGACCTTTTTGCCTTAAGGATTCTTCAACATCGAAAACCGCCCCCTCAGGTAAATTCTCTTTCGAACTGCTTACCACCGTAGTTACTGATGCATATGGTTGGGATGATGGCGAGTGCTTATCTATCAGAACTCACTGGAAATAATGAGATTATTTTAAAGTTGGAAATGTTCGGCTATCTGAAGCATTGAAATTGTATTTCTTCAAAGTCTATAATTACTGTTTGTAGTGATTTTTTAAATAGCATCTTTGAAATTCAGAAAGGCTCGTTCCAATTTGATGATTGCCTTTGATAGCTGAATTCTGTTATGAATCTGTAAAACAAATGCAACTTATTGCGTCAAATTTATCATTATGCCCATTATTTATTGTTGAAATCAATGTAACTAGAGACGAAGGTACATAGAAAGTGATTTAGGGTTTGTCTCTTTCAAAATTTTTGGACTAATAATAGCATTTTAAGTCTTTATTAGTTTAAATTTGAATTAGACTTTTATCATCTCTAATTTTTTAAATTAAATACTTAATGGTTTCTATTATTTTAAATTCAAATAATTTATTCCTCTTAATATTTGATCTTAATTTTGTTTCTGAATGTAATTAATAGTCTTCAAATGTAAGTATTATTATATTCAATTGGCTAGAGTTCCTCGAGCGTACTATGCCATTTTGAAGTATGTTTCAAGGAGACTTGGTTCATAGTGGAGTAGTATACGTATCATAGAATGCAAAATTTAACTAAAATTTGGGTTTATGCTCTATATCGAACCGGGTTTTACCGGACTTCTTGCTATGTATTGGATCCGATATCTTCTTGGAAGGGATTACCGTCTCACATCAACTAAAGAAATGGAATGTTTGGACTTGCTGGGGTAAAAAACTCTATATGATGGATGGTTGTGAAATGGCACCACCGACAAGACCTATTGTTATTGTCATGGGACCATAACTATTTTCTCAAAAAATATGTTAGTACATATAATATCACCATTTGTGCTATCCATAATTTTCTTTTCATTTCGATATAAAATTAATATCATTTACCTCACCAAAACGTGACACTATAATATTTGCTTGGAAAACTTGGAGTGAAGCTAAACCTTTAGGAACCGATACCGTACCACCGACAAGAGAACATTAATTTTGTATGCTCTATTTTTCAATGGAATTGTTTGCCTGATTTGAAGATCTTGTAGTTATTCCTATTTTTGCTTGCCTCTCAAGTCTCAAGAGAATACATCTCTTTTAGCTCTCTTTTAGATGATTTTAAAGTGATCTCAAGGTGTTATTTTATTGAATAATTTTGCTCAATCTTCGTTAATTTCTTTGATATATTCGAATAAATCTTATTTAATTTCATCTAAATATGTGTCGAAAATAGGTATCGAAATAATAGAAATGATAACATAAAATACACGCCTAAAATAATTTGCATATCAATACAAGGCTGCTCCTTTTGTTGGCATTGCGTTACAGACAAGGAAATCAATGCTTCAAGTAGTTACACGGCTACAAAGGTTAAAATGACTGAAAATCAATCACCATTGACGAACCGTATGAAAAATCAACCTTCATTGACGAACCACTTTTCTCTTCTTAAAAGCAGGATGTATAACGCCATTGCCAGAACTTAGCTCCTCGATCCTGGAAATACAACTCTTCATTCGATTCAGAATCGCTGGCGTTGATGAAATGTTACTTGAAATTTTCTCTTTAAGTAGCTGTATCTTCTCCTTTGTCCTTTGCTCCAACTCCGTCTCCTCTGAATCTATGACAACCAAAATCTTTAGGTCGATTATCAGGAGTGATTTTTCAATCCCGATTTCACAAACCCTAGAAAGTTTACGGACCTACCTGGATGAAGCTCTCCGGATGATCCAGGCTCCGACACGATATCGGAAAAGCTGGGTCTCTGAGAAGAGAGAACTGAAGCTAGAGTGGCCTTGAGTTGATCTGGGATAGTGGATCTGTATTCCAGAATCTTCTCCGCCATTTTCTTCACATCGGATTCCAGCTCCTCCAAGTCCTCTTCGGAGTCAAGCTCCGGTTCAGCTCGTCGATTGTCGATGTGGGTCTCGAGGGATTTTTGTTTGCTGTTAAGAGCCATGGAGTAAAAGGGGAAGATTTGAAAAAAAAAAATCCCTTTGGGGAGGAGATTAGGGTTTTGAAATTTGAAAACTCGACATTAAACGGCAAAAAAATATGCAGTCGGAGAGATTTCCTTTGCGTTTTGATTTGATATTGACACGCTGTAAAATGTGTGCAATGATATGAGACGACGACGTATTTGGGCTGGTCCATTAAACGAATGAGTTACAGTAAGTTAACGGTGTTTCAAAAAAAAATACAGTAAGTTAACGGCGTCGAATAAAAGCTTGTCGATTCCTAGTAGCCAGAAAATCAAGACGGATTAAAATAGAACAAAATCAAACTCATCCTTTCTGTTATTTTTCTCAGTAACCAAACAGAAAATTCCATTGACTCAATTCCCAGGCGAAGCACACGAGGCGGTAATTTTTCATGATCAACATCCGAGTAAAGGAAGACAAAAGAATGGAAAAAAGAAAATTAACTTTGATTACTCCGAATCCCAAGATTACGATGAAGAAACATTTGTATGTTCCCATAATATTTAACTATCACTGCTTCCATTTTTAGCCATTTTTCTATAGCTTTTGTAGTTGTATTCTTTTTTTGGATAAGTTGATTGCGTTAATATCCAAAGAATGCAGCAAAGCTACTACTGAGCACCATAACAAAAAACAGGAGCTCACTCGGGTATACCCCAAGCTGTACAAAGATAAGAATTCACACCATCATACGTCTGCCAACAGCCTTAACTCTAATAACTTCCCTTATAGATTCCAAAACTTCCTCACTACTACTCACATGATTACTAAAGAGCCTTCTATTCCTCTCTGTCCAAATGAAGTAGATGAGAGCTTTCCAGGCAAGCTTGAGAATAAAGGAGATGATGGACTTACCTTTTAGGCGCTTAACAGCCCACTCCAACTAAGAATCCCACCCACACATAGCCCTCTGCAAGCCACAGATGGCCAGAATCTCCTGCCAGATCACTCGCGAGAAAGAGCAACCAAAAAAATAGGTGATCTCTAATCTCTGTAGCATCCCCGCACAAGATACACGACTCATCCACCACAATCCCCTTTCGAATGAGTTTGTCCTTCGTTGTCTCCCCAAGATGGCCAGCCAAACAATAATAGCACGTTCGAGCATTCAACGGTATACTCGGTCCCTTTAAAAAGGATCATAAAAACCTAGTTGATTATTTATTTATTTATCAAATTACAAGGATTCTGTTTTGGAGCAAACGATGTCACCTCAGAAAGTTGAGTAAGGACTGCTGTAATACTCCGAGATCTGACATTGGAAACTAGATCTTCCATCTTTAAATTTGCAAATGTTCCAAAGGAACGCCATTAAACCAGTGGTAAACAGCTGAGATAGTTGCAGAAAAAAGGCCATATGTGGATTCAAAGCCGGCTCTCTCTTCATACAAATACCCGAACCAGTCAAATTGTAAGCTCTCTTGGTTTACCTTACCGATTTGCCACTTCAGGTTGTTGTAAACATCAAAACGAAATTTTCATTTTGTACGATAAAAGTTTACTTGATAATCTAAGAAAAGCTTTCATCAATCATTTCCATAGAACTCAACCATGGGGGAAAACAATGTGGAGCGATCCACAACTTGGGGTAGTTAATACATAACCTTAGGAATCATTTAGTTGGTTAACATGGTTAGAAACTAGCAATTGTAAAGAGGCATGTGGTATATTGATGTCATAAGATATTGAAGGAATTGTAGAACTGTTCTCTAAAAGTGCAGAACTTATGGCTTGAATGGTTCCCAGAAACAGGAAGTGAATAGGAAGCCAATTTATTTTGTATTTACCAGAAAATTGTGTAGAATATACATAGGTATCTTATGATTATCGTTTGTTCATGCATGGTTCGAATTCAACCATACTCTATGTACATCTAGATTCTACGTAGCAAAAGGCAAAGATATTTAGCCTTGAATTAATGCGAAAAAAACTTTCTCGATAAGCACAGCCTTTGCCAGTTATCCTGTTAACAACACTATGTGTTGGGGCTGGGGCAACCGTTAGGTGAATGTTTGTAGGGATGGCTCTTTCTTTTTCCCTTTACCCTGCTTGAATATCCTTTTCTGTTGCAATCGTTTCTTTTATATTGTTCTGCACTACGATGCAGAGCTCATCAAGGGGTAACATTGGGAACGGCTCCTCGATAAGAACACCAACCTGCAATATGAGAGAAACTTCTAAAGATAGAAACAGAGGAAGAAACTCTGATATTAAGGGGATAACACTGGAAAAAGATGCATACTTCTTCTATGCAGAACAAGGAAGCAGCACTGATGAAAGTAGCGGGGACAACAATTCAATGGCAATCATCCCAGAGTATGATGGGAAGAGTAAGATGCCATAGGACCAAAAACCTTGATTTCAACCGAGTGTATGATAGAGGGATAGGAACCCCCATGAGTTGATCGCATACACCAATTCCTTCATGGAAACATGAGAGAGTTGACTCCTGAAATGAAATGAGATCATAAGACTACTGCACTCAAACAAAGATAAAGATGGATATTTCCCGAAAGCATCAATTTTTTATTGGTGAAACCTAAAGTTCAGATGGTTGAAGAAGGGAGATACCAACATAGTTCTCTTTGTTTCTTCTAAGTTCAGCAATTTAAGGCTCTGAGAAATGAAGTAAATTATGCAGCGAGGCCGATGCTTTGAGTGCAGTATCACCGCTAAATCATCTACTTCAATCAGATTCTGAAGATCGCTGCCAATATCCGAGCCATACAGAACATGACACTGCAAAAAAAAACCGCCATTATCAACCAAGCAGTCATTTCCTTCATAGCTCATACAAATGTTCAATTTCTTATTAGAATTTTCTAAGCAATACTCACCTTAAGTGCAACAGGAAAAGCCATTATGTAGTGCAAGAGAACAGATTTGATGGGCTGATCATCAGCTGAATTATCGACCCCAGCAATTACCTGTCTTGCCAAATCATTTGTTCCTGCAATTACCTTAGTCCACGCCTTCCTCCCCTCTTCATACCTCGAATACGAGGCTTCGGTTCTAAAAACCAACAGCAAAGCCAATGCAGGCGCAGTCAGCTGATAAGGCAACGAATAAGCTCTCAACATCGGGAAAAAATCAGGCAACCAATGCAAATCCACGGCAGTGTTGTAAGTGGCAACGACAATAGCAACCGAAGTAAAAGCTAAAACAGGTGGAACCAGTGATAAGATGACACGCGACTGTAAACTGGAAAGTAAATGTCGAAGGTGACGTTGTGAACTTCTGTGATGAACCCATTTTTCGTGGTCGTAAAGAGCGCGCTTTTGTCGCATTCCACGCTCTTGAATACGATCGGCCCAGTCCGGGATAGCACCGATGAGGGAGGTAAGGTTCAGGGTTTTGGCATAGCTAGTGGTGGCCATTGAGCTCGGTGGCGGTGGCGGCGGTTGGGAAGCGGAGAAAAGGATCTTGAAAGTGGGTGGACGATTGAATTTTGTAGGAAGTGAGGAGTTGGGGGGAAAGTGGAGGAAGGGTTTGGGGGTGAAGGTTGAAGAGAGGGAGAGCTTTGAAGGGTTGGAAGAGTGAGTCATTGTAAGAATCAGGGTATGGACGAGTGACGGTGTCGTTAGGGCTTCCGAGGAGTGAAAAAGGGTGACAAGTGGGAAGGAATGGGCGTTTAAAAAAGCTGTGGGTGTTGTGTTCATGTTTGTGAAGGACATTAAAACACTTGTTCAGCATTTTTGTTCGGATAAAACGAGGATGCTTTCAACAATTAACGACACATTGTATGTTCGAGAATTTGTTCTCTTTTGGATATTAGGGATTTTTTTTTTATCTAAATGGCATCATTTTCTAAAATATTTTTTTTATGTAAATAGAACTTTGTTAATTTTATTTTTTAAAAGAAAAAAACATTCAACATTATAGGGAATACATAATTAGATATATTTATATATTCATTAACACGAGAGACCAATCACTTAAGATCATATTAAAATCTGTTGAAAGTCCAAGTTAATTGTCAAACTTGGGGACACCGAAAGTGCACAATTAATGGTACCAAAAAAGTAGCCAGCAATTGTGGAAAAATTTGCAAGGGTAAAATTACACTTTTAGCCTCCTAGATTTTAGGGTATTTACAAATTAGTCCTTATGATTCAACTATAAATACCCTAGCTTATTCAGTTTCAAAACCATCCCAAAGCATTCTAGCTTTCTTCCAATACTAGAGAGAATTTAGAGAGTTTCTTGAGAGTTGTTTTCTTCTTTTTATAGAGAGAGAATTATCATTGTTTTCTCCTTGGTAGATCGAGAAATGTTGTAATTCCTATTTTCTCATAGTGAAATTCTTCTACCGTTGCCCGTGGTTTTTACCCTATTTTATTTAGGGGTTTTCCACGTAAATTTTGTATCTCTTTTTATCTTCATTTTTATTTTCTCAAATTATCAATTACGATTTTGCTCTATCCGATAGCCGTCTTCCGCAACAATTGGTATCCGAGCCAGATTGGAGTGTGTAATATATGCTTATTGTCTTTGTGGTTGCCACCAAAAGGTGGATCCTCCAACATAAGAAAGTAAGAAGGTATTACCTATTCTTTGAAAGTTCCAGAGAACTATTCACGATAGTGAAATAGTGGGAGCTATTCGTAATAGAAGCTATGGCAGCGAAATTTGATATTGAAAAGTTCAATGGGAGAAATTTCTCATTGTGGAAATTAAAGATGAAGGCCATCATGAGGAAAGACGGGTGTCTAGCGGCTATCAATGAAAGGCCAGTGGATTTCACAGATGACATCAAATGGAACGAGATGGACGGGAATGCTATGGCAAACTTTCATCTAGGATTAGCAGATGAAGTATTGTCAAGCATCGAGGAGAAGAAGACAACTAAGGAGATATGGGATCATCTCACAAAACTGTACGAGGCCACATCGTTGCACAATAAAATTTTCCTTAAGAGGAAATTGTACACTCTCCGTATGCCAGAATCTACTTCAGTGACGGAGCACTTAAATACACTGAACACCTTATTTTCTCAGCTTACATCCTTAAGCTGTAAAATAGGAGAACAAGAACGTGCTGAACTTCTACTTCAAAGTCTACCGGATTC